AAATTGCTCATCAACTTGGCTATTGCTGATCTGAAACCATGCAAGCTGAGCCACCAGCTCCGCCAGGGGGTGCAAACGACTAACCAATGTTGCATCCCCAGAAGTTACTCCTAAAGCATATACATGCTCATTAATCCTGAAACGGATAGAGAGTTAGAAACATTGATGAGAATCATCTATCAGCTGCCTCCTGCACACTCCCCACTGGGGATGTGCCCGCAACCAAGGTACATGCCCTTGACTGGAATCGAACCTGGGACCCTTTAGTCCGCAGGCCAATGCTCTATCCACTGAGCCAAACCATCTAGGGCTGCATTCTACCTGGAAATGCCCTCTCTTGCTTCTCCCCCTAACTGATGCCTCTCTAGCCTCTGAAATGCAATGCAAACCTGACCTCCTCTCAGAAGTCTCAAAGGATGCAGCCTCTCCGTGCCTCCGTAGTTTGCTGTCTCACCTTCCCATGTGCACCCATCACACACTGTGCTTATTTGTAGCACTCCACTTGTGTATTATCTACTGCTGCGTTATCTACTGCTGCGTAACAAATGTGCCCAAAATGCAGCAGCTTAAAATAACACACATTCATTATCTCACAGTTTCTGTGGATCAGGCATACAGGCATGGTTTAGCTGAGGCCTTGGTCATCTTAAAGCTCAACTGGAAAAGATCTGTTTCCTAGCTCACATGACAATGGGCAGGATTCAGTTCCTCACAGGCCGTTGGACTGAGGCCTCAGTTCCTCAAGAGCTGCTGGCCACAGTCCCAGACCTGTTTCCAGCTAACTCATTAAACCTGATTAGAAGCAAATTTATTGTGAAGCTTAAGCTTCAGGGCCCCTGACCCTTCCAAAGGCCAGGAAGGGCCCAGGAGTTTTGTGTTGATAACTTTGCGTTCTTTTTCTTGAATAAGAAAAGGTCACCTTACTTCAGGTCCTGGTCGCAATGGACCTGCCAGGATCCTTCCACTGCCCTGCCATTCACCCCTCCTAACCTACAGCATACACTTACCAGTATCTTTTTTATTTTTTGTATTTGATTTGGCTCTGACTCTTTCAAAACTGTTTCTCAGCAGCCCAGCCTTGCCCCTTCTGCCTTCACTTCCTTAACATAAACAACCTCGGTTCTGTAGTCTTTCCTCACAGGCCCTATTTTCTAACTCTTTAATCATCCTTACTGCTATTTTTGAAGCCTTTCATAGTTTCCCCTTAGGTAGTGGTGCTCAGAACGGATGTGTTTTTCTAAACAGCAAGTCTGGCTTCTGACCAAGTGGCATCTGATCAGGGCCACTTTGGGGCTGGCTGAGTCTCAGGGACAGCTGCTTTGCCCTGTGTCGCCCCACTACCAACCTCAGAATGACTGAGGTTCAGAGGAATAAACGAAGGAGTGACCAGGGAAAGGTAGAAGGGTGTGTGTCAGAAACAGGAAGTCATCTCTGCAAATATTTTGAGTCTTTTTTTTTTTTTAATTTCAGGGAGGAAGGGAGAGGGAGAGAGAGAGAGAAACATCAATGATGAGAGAATCATTGATTGGCTGCCTCCTGCACACCTCCCACTGGGGACTGAGCCTGCAACCCGGACATGTGTCCTGACTGGGAATGGAATCATGACCTCCTGGTTCATAGGTCCACACTCAACCACTGAGTCTTCCCCCCTCACCACAACCCCTTGCCCCCAGGGCAGTTTTTTGTTTTATTTTGGAGGAATTGCCATACTGGTTTCCAAAGTAGTTGAACCATTTTACCATCCTACCAACTACAGATTGCTTTTAGAGGCTCAACTGTCATGTCTATAATAAGATTGTCTTAGGTACAATAGAGACCATCAACAAGAATAAAGCCCAGACCAATGTACTTCAGATATGTTAATCAGGAGAGTTTAAATTGATAACTGTTACAAAACACTAATCATGTTTGTTTGTTTTAAATGGAAACATAAATTCAGAGGCTTTATTTTTAGACACTTTTAGTGTAACTAGACTTGTGTTTTGATTTACATATTGGTTTTTGTTTAGAAAGATTTGGCTATAATATTTTGGATTATTTTATAGCAGTTCCTTTGTGTTAAATTTTGAATTAAATAATTCAGATCTACAGAAAATAATATAACAAATATCTAAGTACTTATAGTCCAGCTTAAACAAAACCATATTTCTTTAGATCTGTCACCAGGAGTAGAGTAGAAAAAAAACCCCAATAAACATTTCCACTCCTGCTGACCATGACAATAAGCATACCTGCATGACATCAGAGAAAAAAATAGTAAGTAAATGAATTCATACTTGGCTACATATTGCTCTTTCTGTAATTTGAGAGGAGCATGGTCCAGTAGTTAAAATCATGGGCTCTGAAGGTATACAGACTAGATTCAAGTCCTAGGTTTGCTTCTTGCTGTTTTTGTGGCCTCAAGCAAGTTGCTTAATTTATTCCTGCCTCAGTTTCCTCACCTGTAAAATGGAGATAATCAAAATACGTCCCAAGGTGTTTGAAGGATTAAATGAAAAAGATGAGCTCTTATATATTTACAGCCAGCGACACATAGCAAAGCTTCAATAAATATTTTTAATTATTTATTTTGTTTATTGAGCACCTACTATATGCCACTTACTATATGCCAACCATAGTATTGGCTGATAATTTAGCAGTGAATAAGAAAGATAAAGACCCCATGAAGCTTACTTTCTAGTGACAGATAAAACAATTTCAGATGGTGGTAGGGACTATGAAGAAAAGATAAGGTGTGGAAAAGTGGAGAGCTCCTTTAGACAAGAGACAGGAGGTCATGGGAGGCCGTATGAAGCCCTCAGAGGGGAAGTTTAACTGAGAGCAGCAGAAGGCACTCGTCATTTGGAAGTTTGGGGAAGAGTGAGAGAGGGTATAGTATGTGCTTAAGTCCGCAGGCAAGAAAGCTTGGTTTGTACAAGAAGAAAAAAACAGAATGGCTAAAGCACAGTACATGAGAGGAAGGGAGGTTGGGCATGATATCAGAGTTAAGAAGGACAAGCCAATAAGGCTCTTGTGGACCACAGTAAAAAGCTTGGATTTTGCCCTAACTGGTTTGGCTCAGTGGATAGAGCGTCGGCCTGCGGACTGAAGGGTCCCAGGTTTGATTCCGGTCAAGGGCATGTTACCTTGGTTGTGGGCACATCCCCAGTAGGGGGGTGTGCAGGAGGCAGCTGATTGATGTTTCTCTCTCATCAATGTTTCTCTCTATCCTTTTCCCTTCCTCTCTAATCAATGAAACCATATTTAGAAAAAAAATATCAATTTCCTCTACTGCCCTTGAAATACCATTTGACATACATTCAATTTTGTGGATGCATACCTTTTGTGTAAGAGAAGACACATTTATACAGGCATTTAGTCATCAATTACACCTTAAAATACAGAATACCAAACACAACTTAAGAGAAAAATTAAGAGGGGAACTGGGTTAGGAAATTCAGGGAGGATGGTGGTGCTTCAGTTTTAAATACAGTGTGGGGGGAAAAACAGTGTCAGGGAAAGTGTCATTGGAAGGGTGACCTGTGAGCAAAGGTATAAAGGAGGGGACAGGGTGAATGATGCTATGATCAGGGGGAAGCGCATTCCAGGCAGAGGAATCAGCAAACACAAAGGACCTGCTGAAACCGGTTTGGCTCAGTGGATTGAGCGTGGGCCTGCGGACTGAAAGGTCCTGGGTTCGATTCTGGTGGGGGGTGGGGGGATGTACCTTGGTTGCAGGCACATCCCCAGTAGGAGATGTGCAGGAGGCAGCTGATCCATGTTTCTAACTCTCTCTCTCTCCCTTCCTCTCTGTAAAAAATCAATAAAATATATTAAAAAAATATTTTTTTAAAAAACACAAAGGCCCTGAGTTTACGTGCAGGTTTGAGGAACAGCAAACAGACCAATATGCCTTAAGTAGAGAGAGAATGGAGAGAGGAGGAGATGAGGTTAGTTGTAGTGGGGACGAGGGTGTATGTGTCAAATCGAGGGTCCTTTGGCCAATGTTAGAATTTTGGTTTTCACTTTAGAAATTCATTGGAGGAGCAACATGATCTGGTTAAGGTTTTAACTGAAGCCCACGGCTGCTGTGTTAATAGACTGTGGGAAGGCAAGGGTATAAGAGGGTAGGCAAACAGTCACACATTTACTGAGGCGTGAAATGGCCCGATTCTGGACAGATTTCAAAGGCAGGTCGTGGAGAGCTTGCTGATGAATGTGGGGCGAGAGAGAGGAGTCAAAGATCTTAGTACATAAGTAATATTACTTAGTAAATTGTTATCATAGGAAGTGGTGATCAAAGACTACAGCCAAAACATTTACCGAGAGAGAGAGAGGCATAGCAAGCAGTTAATTAGCAGTATTTTCTGGATTTTGTGTTAGTGAGCATTTTTAAAACCTGTAATGAATTTTCTCAAAGAGGGCCCCCAAATTGAATAAATTTCAGGCTGCCACAAACCTGAATGCAACCCATATTTGAGTAGTAATTTAAAGTTAACGAAGATTTTAAAATTTTTGTGTCTGACAAAATAATTACATAAAATAATGTGCACAAAATAGAAGTTAATTGTAAGCGCAATGCAATATTATCATAAACTAATACTGGGGATAAAAACATCACCGTGGGTTAGCCTCCCCACAAGTGTCTTCAAAAACTCTCCACCTTCCTTCCACAGTTTTTCCAAATCTACCAAGTGCATTTCTCCTCATGTTCGCTTTTGGGAGGCAGGGATTACACGCATTTTAAGAGACCAAGAAAATTTAGCGCTGAAGTGTTCCCCCGCCCCCGGGCACCGGAGCCTTTGCACCGCAAAAACTAGCCTATCAGCACCAGGTATCTTGGAGGCACCGAGAGAGGCGTAACCAGGGGCGGGGCTCGCCGGGGCGGGGCTCGCCGGGGCGGGGAGGTTTGAGGTGGGTGGGAGAGTGGGCGGGGCCTAGACGCTTCTCAGCCCCGCCCCGTGAGGCCTGACACATGCGCCCAAAGGCTTCTGGTGGAACGAGGTGCGGATTGTGAGGTGACCCTGGACGGTGACTTCCGTTTTCTAGGGATGCGCTTCCGGGTCACGCTAACGCCGCGGTTTCCTCCACTCGCTTGGTTCTACTGTGGGTCTGGACCGGTCCCCATGTCCTGCAGCGGAGCCCCTGCAGCCTTTGGGTGAGTCTGCGCTGTCGACAGGGTCTGAGAGCGGCCGGACGAGTTCTGCCTGTAGCGGGGGACGGGTCGAGAGTTCTGGTCCCTGTGGGCGGAGGTTCTCTTTGCCTGTCCCTTGTCCCTGCTGCGCTTCCCTCACCTCAGCCCTTTGCCTCTCGCTGGCCTCGCCTCTTCCACCTCAGCTTCGCCTTTCTCGTAACATTCGCTTCGCTGTTTTTCCTCAGCCTCACCCGCCCCTTACAAGCACCGGCTTCTTGCCTTTTGCTTCAGTGCTTTCTTCCGCCACTGCCTCTCGTTTCCCGCCCCCCATAGTCTCAGTTTAGCCAGACCCCTGACTCCGCGATCTCGCTGTGCTTTCACCCAGCGGGACGGCCGGCCACCTCATGGTGGGCGTCCTCCTCCACCGCGAAACAGGGTGCTAGGGACTTGTCCTCCAACTTTCCTCGCTTGTGACCCCTCCCGGAACTAGGAGGTGACATTTCTGCGTTGCCGGGGGTTCTCCCGCCTTTTCTTCGCTCGCCGAGGGCTGTGCTGTAAACTCCCAGCCTGGGCAGAGGTACCGGGCCTGGGGCAGCTTTGCCTTGGGGCGCTGGGTTCGACTGCACTCTGGTAGCTTCCGTCCTTTGGGAACAACAAAGGCGTTCCCAGCGCCTGGCTGGAGCGCAGCTTCAGGGCTCTCTCCGGAACCGGCTAACAGGTAGCAGGCACACGTAGCTGCCAGCGATTGGGCTCCACGGGTCTTGTGAACTGACAGATCGTGAGGGCGGCCTGTCATCCTGGTGTTCTCTGCTCCCTGAGGATGGAGACGGGCGCTCCCGAGGCCGAAAATGCCATGTTCTGGGCGGATCAGCACTGCCTGCTTTCTGCGTGGGCTTCACTTACAGGACAGTTACTGTGACAGAGGACAGAGTTCCTGGGGACATTATTGGCCCCAGATTTATAAGTTTATTGCCAAGAATTTTAGTAAGTTGTTACTAAAACGTTTTCTGCTAAAGAGTTCATTATAATAATTTCAGAGTACATTTTCTTTCGTTGAACTCAGTGTGCCTATGTCTTTCTTCTTGCCTGCTAGACACTAGAGGACCAGTGCACGAATTCGTGCGCGGTTGGGGTCCTGCTGGCCAGGAACTCCCAGTTGAGGGGACAATTTGCATATTAGCCTTTTATTATGTAGGATTGTTTCTTCATTTTAACTGTACTGACAGTTTTCTGTTTTTCTTCCTGTTTCGTCATAAGCCAGACATTATGGTGCTTTGTTTCTTAGAGTGTTCTTCTTTTATATTTTTCCTTTACTTTCCCCATCTCAGCCTTAAAACTACCTTTTTCTCATTTTGAGACTCAAGTTTCTCTTAAATCTTTTAAAATTTCTGGAGGTTTTTAGTCATCTCTAAAATGAAAGGATTGGATTTAATAATGGTTAGTGTCCTGTTTCCCAAATTTTGTGATCTGAGGTATATTTTTTACAGGATTGGATAATTTTTATATTTGTTTTTCCAATCTTTATGGTATATGTCTAACATTTGCTTGCAAACGTTTTTGTGTGATCAGTTTCTATAATCATATAAATTGTGTTATAAAATTTAGTACTATAGTGAACAGAATAACTTCTAGCATCTGCTTCTCTTTTGACTAATAAGTTATAGAAAAGTCTCCCTCACTCTATGATACATACACATCTGTGAACATAGCATAGATCTTGGCTAATTCCAAAATTGGGCTGCTCCCTTCATCTATTTTTAGCAAAGGACTTTGGAGCTTGGCCATATTAGTCCTAGAAGCCACAAGGAAGGACCCTTCTGGTTGGCTTTCAGGACTCACCTAACTGCTGAGGGAAGCCCCTTTACAAATAAAGAAGTCCTGAACATGCGCACACAGAAGTGGGTTTTAGTTCCATCAAAACTGTAGCCTGGAGAGCACAATATAGTACATAATTTCTTATTCCAATAAATTTATGTCCTAGAAATGAAAGTTTTAGGGTAATAAATTTATGACAGATTTTTAAATTTAAAGCTGAAGTCATTTTGCCTTCAAATAAGGACTCTATAAAGAAACGATTGTGCAGAACTAGAAGTTGAAAGTCTTAGCAAGTGTCTTTCTCTTTTCTTCTAAAACGACTTCTGCCTACTATGATGCAGATTGTGCATAAAAGCCCCTACATGAAATGAGCAGCTATCGTCACATTGGAGCTGTTGTGTTCATATTCTTGGTCTTTGTACTTTCTAGTTACTGAAAAGCCTGCATCTCTTACCTAACTGCCAAACAACAACAAAAATTACTAGAGACAGTTTGGTGTGCACAGTAAGTCCTGACTTAACATCATCGATAGGTTCTGTGACTGCAAGCCACAGAATGGAACCAGTGTTACCACAGACTACCGTATTTGCCGGCGTATAAGACGACTGGGCGTATAAGATGACCCCCTAACATTTCCACTCAAAATACAGAGTTTGTTATATACTCGCCGTATAAGACTGCCCCCTCTTCCGCACACCTTCCACACACCAAATAAAAGGTAAAACAATATCAGATTTGATTTTAACATTTTAATTTATATTCAAATGCTTATGACATGCAGGAAAACTGTCACAAGGCTGTATGTAATCAAACATATACATAAAACAGTGCAAGTTTATTACCGGTAAACATACCGGTAATTCACTAAAGAAAACACACTCTATAGACTGGTACCGTAGATGCTTCTCAGGAACACAGGCAAGCAGCCCACAACCTAGAGGGACTGTCAATGATAGAAGTGCTCCCTGTTTGCCCGCCCTGTCACTATAGCAGTCTGGTCCACCCTTGCATCAGCATCTCCCTGGGACCTCACTAGTGCGCAAGTGCGAGCTCTTCAACATTCTAACAGGCACCATGATAGCGCAAAATAGCGAATCTTCAATGCATATGTAAAGAAATATACGGTAACCCGAATTTACCACACTCGCAAAATCGCACACAGCCAACCATACACCCAGTATGGTATCGCGATTCGTGATTTTGCGCTATCATACTGGGTGTATGGTCGGCTGTGTGCGATTTTGCGAGTGTGGTAAAATCGCATAACAGCAAAATCGCATAACAGCCGAGCGTACACCCAGCAGCGCTGCTGATGCCTGAACGGTATGTGGAATGAAGTGGGCGGGCATCGGGAGGCCACTATGGCACGGGGCAAGCACTATGGGCAGTCTATCTGAAGTGTACCTGGCGTATAAGACGACCCCCCACTTGGAGGCATATTTTTCAGGGCCAAAAAATCGTCTTATACGCCGGCAAATACGGTAATTGTTATAAAGAGTTAAGTTCCTGGGCATCTCATCAATGTTAGAACAAAGCGACATTATTAGAGGACCAGGTGCATGTGTTTTTAAAGCTCAGGAGAGGCCTCACTATCAGTTTTCTATAGAAATTTCTACTTTAGTTTTGCAGTCTTATAACCCTGAGGGTTTGGTTTAAAATATGTTTTTGCATATTAGTTTTATGCCTGCCAGTTTTTTTTTGTTTTGATTATTTTTTGTTATTTTTTGTCATTTTACTTTCTTCTGTATTTTGTTTTACATGTTGTTTTTTTTTTCCTTCAGCCTAGGGTATGTTTTAAGAAAAATGCAGTTTTAAAAATTTAAGAAACAAATTACACCTCCACCACAATCTTATCATTTATTTGTACCTTGTGGTATGAGTTTCTGTGATCTGTCTAAGCCATTTCATAGCTCCATTCTCTTGTTTTTCTTATATACAAAAGGCTCATATAACTTCTTTTTTGGTAGAATGTCTAAAAGATTTTTGTGTTCTGCATATGAAAACAGGATATTTTAATTTATGTGTGATTTAAGTAAAGGAAGTATTGTTCAAATTAGTTCAACATAGAATAGTTCAATGTAGAGATACTTTATTTATTGATTTTATATATGTTTTTATTGATTTCAGAGAGGAAGGAAGAGAGGGAGAGAGAAACATCAATGGTGAGAGAGAATCATTTATCGGCTGCCTCCTGCATGCCCCCTACTGGGGATTGAGCCCACAACCCAGGCATATGCCTTTGATCAGAATCGAACCCAGGACCCTTCAGTCTGCAGGCCAACACTCCATCCACTGAGCCAAACCAGCTAGGGCAGTGGTTGGCAAACCGCGGCTCGCGGTCCACATGCGGCTCTTTGGCCCCTTGAGTGTGACTCTTCCACAAAATACCATCTGCCGGCACGCACATACAGTGCAACTGAAACTTCGTGGCCCATGCTCAGAAGTTGGTTTTCGGCCTGGGCGAGTCTATTTTGAAGAAGTGGCGTTAGAAGAAGTGGGAGGTGTCAGTGGGTTGGGATACGCAGCGCGGGGGAGACGCCAAATATCAACGGTACTTAAACTATATAGGTAGGTTAATAACAATGTACTTACCTATATAGTTTAAGTTTAAAAAATTTGGCTCTCAAAAGAAATTTCAGTCGTTGTACTGTTGATATTTGAGTTGACTAATGAGTTTGCCAACCACTGAGCTAAGGCAATGTAGAGATACTTTAAGACATATTTCAGAATATTAGGAATAGTTTATTCTTTCCATATATTCACTTAATTGGTTTATACCAAGGATTTGAATTGTTATATTCATAGTAAAGTATATTCATTGTTATATTCATAGAAATTAGGTAGGCTTTCTATCTGCTGATTAACTTAAAAATACAAGTGGATGTTCTTGTACAAAATGTATGGCTTAAGCTATAAACTGACTTATTGATATGTTTTATTGGCAGAGAACATATAGCAAACAGCAGCCACATCATGATGTTGATATTTTTATTCGGTCCTATAAACTTAAGTCCTGGAGTATCTAATTATTAAATGTAGAAATAATTAGGGTATTTTCTCTGTTGCTTATAGTATATCATAAAACAGATATTTGAAATATGGGCTTCATAAAATTTATCTTTGCTGTTTTCCCTTTTAAATGCGTAGTAGAATTTTAAAATAGAAAAGGAAATGTGTAAATGGTGTTGACGTATTGTAAGTCAGCATAT